ATTGTGATCGCTAAATGATGACTGAATGGGCTTTTTTCACTTAACGTTGATTGGTTCCCTGCTTCAGAAACTGATTTTTCGCTTAACGACAATCAAAAACAGCTGATCATCAGGTTTCAAAATGGCCACCTGCTCTGCAAAATGGCTCCCCGCTGTGCTTTAGGATGGATTCCTCGCATTACAGACACCGGAAAATGGCTGCCCTATAGAGGATCTTCGCTGGGCGCTGACTTTTTTCACTTAACGTTGATTGGTTCCCTGCTTCAGAAACTGATTTTTCGCTTAACGACAATCAAAAACAGCTGATCATCAGGTTTCAAAATGGCCACCTGCTCTGCAAAATGGCTCCCCGCTGTGCTTTAGGATGGATTCCTCGCATTACAGGCACCGGAAAATGGCTGCCCTATGGAGGATCTTCGCTGGACGCTGAGTATTTCACCCACTGGAACACACTGAACTGGTTTTCAATGCATTTCACTGGACTTTTTCATTTCGCTTGATGAGGATTTCGCTTAATAACAATTTGAATGGAACGAATTGTCCTCGTCAAGCGAGGCACCACTGTATACTTGTCATAAATTGTGCTATATATGTGAGAATCAGTATGGTGGTTGGACAGTTGGACTAGGACTTGCAAAACTTGGCTTTAAATCCCCATTCAGCCAAGAGATGTACTGGGTGACCTTAAGAAAGTGATACTTTCAACCTGACCTAACCCAGAGGGGTGTTGTGACAATACCTTAGTGGAGGAGAAAATCTATGAACACCAGTAGGGATGAGGTTGTTAGATTTTCTGAGCTGCAAGTGCCAACACTCTCCATTTGGGAGAAACAGCCAAAATACTACAAAAATAAAAGCTAGCAGCATGTGTAACAAAACTGGAGGACAAAGTGGGGAAGGGGAGATAAATTAGCTCCTTTTCCTAATGCTAATGTGACATGTGCCACTCCAATCCCTCATCATCATCATCTTAGAATTGCATGAGAGACTCAAGACATTCATAACACATTCACACATACATGCACTCTATCAATTATATTTTGAAATTTAACATGAACTGCAGCTACCTAAAAGAAAACGAGAAGAAATCTTCAGTGCACCACCATACTATAAATAGATGCAAATAGCAATCTCTAGCAGACTAATACCCTTCTCACACCCTGCCCAGAAACAAAATGCCTGCAGATCATGGACGAGGGAATTTATCTGGTCAATCTGAATCCTTCCAGAGCCTCTAAGAAAGCAGTTTCCAGGACAGCTGGGCTTTTCAGTGGTGTTTGAGCTGAGCTGTCAATTTGGCTTTGCTTTGGACTTCTTAGATCTGTTTGAGCGCTACTTTAGTTTTCTCAGCAAGACTTACTAACACAAAATATGTGCTGTTGTTGTTTGAAATAATAATAACAGCCTTTTCAACCCCCCAAAGCAATATTCAGGGCTTGGGAGAGTCCTGATTTGATTCAAGTACCTCTTCTGGCTTTCTTATTTTGTGTTGAATTGGTTCAGAAATTGACAAATACTCCATGTCACTTTGGATTCCAATAATTTCCAAACTGAAAGCATATCCCTAATTAGAAGTAAGACCTCATCAATGCATGGATCCTGTTGTATGTGGTATAGTGTAGTGATACTGTCTTATTCCTTGGACCTGCTGTTTGTGACACAAACATAACAAAGACTGTATTCTCGAAGGCTTTCACGGCTGGGATCCGATGGTTGTTGTAGGTTTTTTTTTGGGCTGTCTGGCCGTGTTCTTGAGGTCTTTCTTCCTAATGTTTCACCAGTCTCTGTGGCCGGCATCTTCAGAGGACAGGAGTCAGAACAGAGCACAGACAGAGTTCTGACTCCTGTCCTCTGAAGATGCCAGCCACAGAGACTGGCGAAACATTAGGAAGAAAGACCTCAAGAACACAGCCAGACAGCCCGAAAAACCTACAACAACCATAACAAATACTGTTCCTGTTACAGTGGACCCCGCTTGACGACAATAATCCATTCCAGGAAAATCGCTGTAAAGCGAAATCATCCTCAAGCGGGGAAAAAAATGATTGGAATGTACTGAAAACCGGTTAATGCGTTCCAATGGGGAAATACCTCATCATCCAGCGAAGATCGCCCATAGAGAACTGCCGATCAGCTGTTTAAAATCGCTGTTTTCCGAAGCAGGGGTCCGGAAAACAGCCATTTTGCAAAGGGAGGGAAGCCATTTTGCGGAGCTGGAAAAAACATCATTTTGCATATGAACGGTTCGTGAAGTAGGCACCTAACTGACGTAAAGCAGATTTCCCATATAGGATACATCATTTTGCAATCGCAATAGCAATCGCAAAAAACTCATCATTAAGCGATTTCGACGTCATGCGGGGTAAGCGTCTAGTGGGCCACCACTGTATATGCCATGTCATACTATATATGATCAGCGCCAGTGCAGCTTCCTGTTCAGTAACGTGAATAGATAAATAGTCATATCCTTGCAATGCAGCTCAGGAATCGAGAAGCTTCCTCTTTTTTGCCTATAGTTCCCAGAATCCCTCAGTGATTAGCTAGGTGGTCCTGGGTGTTGTAGTTCAAAAGAGAAAAGCCAGTTTCCTGCTTGAGGAAAACTGTGCATGGAACAGTCCAATCCATGTGGGGTTTCGGTTTGAACACTGCTAATGCAATTCCTGTGTAGTCCTTTGCGCAAGTGCCAAGCCCCAGTACAGTGGGGCAATTTCTGGCTTGGGTAATTCCAAAGTGCTGCAGGCATGGAGCCCTCACAGTCCACATTTTTAAACAGGATCCTGGGTTATGTTTTCCAAGCCCTGTTGCTGCTACTGAAATCCTTCTCATTCTTTATTTTGTTTTGAGCAGAGTTTGGAACAGATTCTGACAGAAAGCTGCATGTTGCTTCATTTACACCCAAACCGGGGGTGGGGACAGGTGGGGGACAGGTTTATTTTCAGACAATTGAAAATCAGAACATGGCATTCTTTGGAAGTATTGCAATGGAGATACATTTCTAAATTGAAATTGTCAGCCTTATAATTAAATATGATCACAGTGATGCTTTGAAGCTTAGAAGTTATCCATTCAGGTCACTGAAATGAATTACAATAAATTTATCCCTTGCCGATTTCCCAACGCAAAATGACAACAGCAAAAGCAGCTTAAGCTGAAGGTGGAATCTATAGCACACGGAAAGAAACGCTAAAGAATTTTAACATTCACCAGGAGGCCCATACACAAGATGAAATAAGATGCAATTCAACTGCTATGCAGTCCATGATGGAAATCATCTGCCTTAAAGGGAGTTTGTTTCCTTTGGTCTATTACATGGTTTATTATGAACATTCTGAGAATTCCCTCCCCTTTCCCCTGCCTCGGTATTTAAATAAAGGCTTATTAGCAGTAGAAGAATAAAAATTAGAACAGCCCAGCCAGAGTCAGTTTAGAAGCTGAAGGGGAGGAAAGGGAGATTTTCTCTAATTAACCCATTTGCCTCCTTGAGATTTCCTCAGAGACGCCTGAACAAAAGGCTAACAAATTACACCATGTTTACGTTCTAATGACCTATCCCTGAACAAAGTGTATTAAATGAGGGGTGGGTTACCTTCAGAGGTCCAGGGCTATAGATGCCCTGGACATTGCAGAGCTGCTCCTGTTCCTGAAACATCTAACATTATTATTATTTTCTTGCAGAAGTAAGGGGCTGACGGAAAAAGCCCCCTTGTACCCTTTAGTGGCAAATTTTATTTTTTAAAAAAGAAAAGGTTTCCTGACCTAAAGGCTCTGTCCTAACAAGTGCAAGAGTGTTGTCATGTCCACTAGTGGGCACTGTAGGATTTCTTGAGCTGACCCCCACCTCCCATTGGGGGGTGTAGGTGTGCTGAGGGGGAGCAGAGGGAGCAGAGTACTGTTGTCCACTTCTGTACCGAGTGCAAGTTGTTTATGTAAGAACTGTGCGCTATGACAGACAGGTATCTTTCACTGCTTGAGGGAGCAATGTGTCCACTTACACTCTGAGCTGAGCATCCTGTTTCATACAGTGGCCAACCAGATGTCTTTGAAAAGGCAAGATAAACATGCTGCTCTAGCTTCTGAATCTGGTCAGGAAATGGTGTGTACAACACACACATGTCATGTAGAGTTCTTCTCCAGCTGAAGATAAATGCAAAATGGCATGGCTCCATTTTCTCAACCTGAAAGGGGGGGGGGGCTGAAGCTCAAGCCAGTTTGTTCCCATTCAAAGGGTATTAAAAGGAAATGGACAAAAGGTTAATGAGTGCAAGTCTATTTATATGTTCATTTGGTGTCATATGTCCTAAGAGCCCCATTTTGCACCACTGTTTTGCATATTCCTGAGGAAAAACTGAGTGTCATAACACTGTTGTTGTTGTTGTTGTTGTTGTTGTTGTTGTTGTTGTTGTAATAATAATAATAATAAGCTAGAAATGCAAACTACAAAGTGTGCTTTCAAAGATATTTGCACATCATTCTGCACACACAGGTTGCACCTTTCCTTTTTTTCTTTTGGAGCATGACATAGTCCTCTTCCACCTCCCTCACAAACAAAATGAATGGGCATAATATATTCTGGATAAAATTACTTCTCTGTCTCCAGTCTCTGCCAGAATCATAGACTTCAAATCATATTGTTCAGAAGGACAAAATATTTGAAATTTCACTTGGAAAAATAAAAATAAAATATTGCAATGAACTCTATTTTTACAATTAAAATATTTGGCTTCATTGTATTATTAATTACTTGATTATGTTCAGTTAGGTTTGCATGCGGACAGCTGTGGCTATAAAACTCTGAGTGTGTGAAAAATGCACATAGTTTAAGTAAATTTTACACCTACAAGCTCTCATTAGTCAACATTGCAAGCCCCTCTGCTTCTGTGGTTTTTCATTCCTTACATCTAATGTACAAAGGGAAACAAAAGATCAACTGCATTTCAAATGTTAGTTTTGATTAAAGCGCGTCTGGTTTCTAAAACTAATGGTCCCATTTCTGATTATAGTTGGACAGCGTGACTTCACTTATCCAGGCTGCCAAAAACCTGATGAATGCTGTGGTGCAGACAGTGAAAATGTCCTATATCGCCTCTACGAAGATTATCAGGATTCAAAGTCCTGCTGGCCCAAGACACCCTGTGGTGATGTGGCGGATGAAGGCCCCAGAAAAGAAGCCTTTGATTAAGAGAGAGAAGCCGGAGGAAATCTATGCAGCTGTCAGGAAAGGTTCGGCTAAGAAGAAAATCCACCCTGTTCAAATCATGAGTGAATTTAGGGGAAGAGAAATAAACTAAAATTATTATTCTGTTCACTGCACTGGTTTCCTGCACTGAGAAATTCTTCATTTCATATACTTACCTCTTTTTTTTTTTGCTTGTTTAATCCCACGAGTACAAGAAAGAGTTGACATTCTTTCTCTCTTCTCATATGTTTAACATTTACTTTACGATAGGCTATTTCACTTGCACATGATGAAACAATCAATATCAAGCTGTTCCACCTACTTTTCAGTAATTTCTATCACATTTTTTAAGGTTATGGGCTAACTTCTATTTCAGAGCAGACCCTTTGAAATCAATGGGACATGTTAATGTTGAGTAACAAGGCCTATTTTAATGCAGCTACTCTGGCTGATACTAAAATGGAATTTAGTCCCACTTATTTTTAAGTTTAATATGCTTTTGCACTGAGCGCTCACTATTTAATATACTTGATTTGGGATTTCACCATTTTGCACAAAGTAAGAGGGAATAGTTTGCACTACAGAAGATGCCACATTAACTGTTTAATTAGGTGAAACAATTACTTATATCTTGTTGTTCAGAGCACGTTACATGCATTCTATTTGTTAAAAACAACCCTGCACGTTTGGTTGTGTTACCTACATGTTGCATAAGAGAATAAAATGCCACAATGGGACTTCATGATTACAGACTTCAATAAACAACTTGATTGTTCACATTCCTAGGCACTACAACTGAAGTACCTCTCGCATTTATTTCTGATAGTATGTATTTATTTAGTTAATGGAATCATTTTTGTTCATGTTACCAAATTTCTGGCCCAATTAAGTCAAGAGTTTTTTTTTGGGGGGGGGGAGTGTACAACAAGTAGCTCTGCAAGGATAATGTATAATTGAGGCAGCTGTTCATGTGACCAAAACTTATAACAAATAGGGGGGGGGTGTGTACAACAAGTAGCTCTGCAAGGATAATGTGATCACTGTTCATGTGATCGAAACTTATAACAAATATAGGATACTTGAAACAGAAAATCTCTATTCAATGTTATGCATGAAACCATGGAAAAGCTGGAGGTGGTGGGATGAAGACCTGCAAAGATGCTTCATCCCTACCCCCATCCCTTACCCTTAATGTTGGTTGCTTCGCAAACACTGTCCAGCCATCTCATCCTCGGTCGTCCCCTTCTCCTCTTGCTGTCACACCTTCCTAACATCAAGGTTTTTTCCAAGGAAAAAATATAACAAATATAAGATACTTGAAACAGAAAATCTCTATTCAAATGTTATGCATGAAACCATGGAAAAGCTGGAGGAGGTGGGATGAGGACCTGCAAAGATGCTTCATCCCTACCCCCATCCCTTACCCTTATCCCCAGCATTCACTCAGCCATGTGTGTGATTATGTTCTGCCAAAAAGCCTGCTGAGCTTCTGTGATGAGGACGAGTGACCTCCAGGTAGCGTGAGGACAGTGGGGATGGGGTGTTTATATATCCTGCCACATCCTCTGTTAAGATTTACACACAGCAGTATTCTTTATGTTGTTTGAGATTCTTCAGTAATCTCCAAACTGAGAGCAAAAATACTCTGGACACAGACGTTCCCTTCACTGAGAGTGTATTTACAAATATACATACGTCGCACCTCAGAACTGGCAAAGTCCACAATTCCAATTGACAAAGTAACGTGCTGCTCCTCCATACACCACCTTGCTTACATAGTGTAGCCTGATGCAATCGTGACAGAGCATGTTGAACTCTGCACATGTGCAGCAGAGTCCCATGACTTTCACTCTTGGCTCACTGCCAATCTGAGTGACTCAGCCTTTTCTGGTTTCCCACAAACCCCCAAGGCAATTCCATATTGCATTTTATACAGAATGCTGGCATCCTCACAATATAGCCTTTCCACACTTTCAGGCATCATCCTGGAATATGCCTGTGGGTTAATCCCATTCTAGGAGGAAATCTATTCTTCCATTGCTCTTTTTCCCCTTAGAAAGCTTTCTGATTCATCCCACTGGCACGCCATTATGTTGCCTTCCTTACTCAGAGTCAGTTTTCAAGTGAGAAATAATGATACCAGAGGAAGACAGAAAATTATCATTATTAAGTACAGTAGACCTCACTGCGGTGAGAATTATGAATATTGTTGAGAGAATAGGTGCTAACAATTGTAAGAAGACAAGTCAACAAAATGTTTCCCTCCTGACCACCCCCAGATGAAGTTTTCAAAGGCTTTATGAGGGCCTGATCACATGGACTATTAGAATTATTTCTCTCCCCTTTTTTATATCAATATGTATGTATAGTCATGTAGTACATATACCGCTGTGCCCGTTCACATGGCTGTCAGTTCATTTGGCATATTTCTTGCTATTTGTACCAGTTCTGTAGGCTACACATGCCATGTCATATAAATTGATTCATTTGCCATCCTGTTTCTGGGTTCCCACTAACTTAAAATTTTCTTTTAGAAAAATATAATTCGTAACTGATGTATCCTTATTTTCCGGTCACTTCCAACTGTTAGTCAATATGCAACCTGGTGGTATATGTCACCTGAAGCCCTTCCTTCCTTCCTTCCTTCCTTCCTTCCTTCCTTCCTTCCTTCCTTCCTTCCTTCCTTCC